GCATTTGATAATACAAATCTATTACCATCAAATATATTATGGAGACATAAAGAAGCTTTCAGTGATGGTGTAACATCAATTAAGAAATCACTATTCCACATCATACACGACATTGTGGATGCTCATGTATCAGATGAAGAGTTAGAAAAAGCTTATTTAAAATTTCCTCATTGTCCTCCAAAAACTAAAGAAGCTCTTTATTACAGGTTTAATATTTATCTTTGCGTTTAATTTCTATACAAATAATTGCTAGTATTTGAAAAATAAATATTAATTTTTATATTTCAGAAAAGTTTTTGAAAAACACTATGGAGGACAAGCTGAAAATTTTGTGCCATACTTTTGGATGCCACGATGGACGAAAGGAATTTCTGATCCATCTGCAAGATTTATTACACATTATAAAGCAGATGTAAAAAGTAATCACAAAGAATATGAAGCCGTGATTAAAAATGCAAAAGATAATTGATTAATCTGAATATGCACAGATTTTTACTGTTGTATTAATTAAAATGTTGTATAAATTAAATAAAAAACAGTCTCTAAGAAATGTTTTTGTGATACAATAATATAAATAAATAGTTCATTTGGATAATAAAATGTTTATAAAAATAAATTATCCTATACGTATTGATTTCTTTGTCACTATTCAAAATCTATAGGTACTAATGGTATAAGAATATAAATAATAACGGTATAATATAATAAATATTTTTTTACAAAGGCAAAAAAATTTGTTAAACTTGTTTTTACCCCTGGTGGGACTCGAACCCACAATCCCCGGTTTAGGAGACCGATGCCTTATCCATTAGGCCACAGGGGCTGGTGAAAGGAACTTTCTTACATCTTTTTATTATTGGACAAATTTAAAAATAATTAAATATTATTAATAAATCAATATAAACATAAATGCTATTCCTAAAAGATTTACATTTTTTTAATTCTACATATATATCTATGCATATATCGTAATAATTAGAAGTCAATGATGCAGCTGTTACCTGTAAATTCCAAGATGGTGACACACATTTCGTAACATTGCTGCGTATTTTTTTAAACTTTAAAATATTCGAATAATTAGAATTTGAATAGAGTTAACAAAGTAGTATTTCAACATATACTGGAGTATATATAATTTTTTATTTGTAATAAATTGATTTTAATAAAAGTAGTTTTTAATGAAAAAAGGTTAGTAAATATATAGCTCTGAAGAATACAGCCTATGTTTATGAATATTCTTTATCTTTTTTTATTGTTTACAGATGATGTCAACAAGATATGTTTCCTTTATATCTGGAATAATAATAGCCTCGTTAACATGGGCTTTTAGTCTATATCTTTATTCTAAACTTTCTCAAAGTACTAATACTGTAAATCCAACAATGTTAGTATTAGAGAATTCAAAGTTAGGAAAAGAATCTCAATTTTATCGTAAAACTTACAACAATCAAGATCCTAAATTCCATAATAATTTAATTGCTCACCATGACAAACGAAGTATGATTGATAAAAATATTTATAACTTAAGAAAAAATAATTTTAAAAATAGTGATAAACTATTGCAACAATTACAACCTGTACCAGTAAAATCTGCTGTTACATTAGGACAAGGTATGTTTAGAAAACTTTAAATTCTTGATATATTATTTTTTAATATTGTTTATTATTATAATATCTTAATTATATTTGTAAAACATATTGATTTTATTTATAGGTTTAGATGAATTAGGTATGGTAAGAAACTTTGATGATCAACGAAAACGAGATGAAGGATATAAGAATTATTCTTTTAATATATTAGTATCAGATAATATTGGATTGCATAGAGAATTGCCAGATACAAGACATAAATTATGTGAAGTACAAAAGTACTCCTTCAATTTACCAAATGCTAGTATTATTATATGTTTTTATAATGAACATTATATGACACTTTTGAGATCCTTACATTCTATTATTGATAGAACTCCTATAAATCTTTTACATGAAATTATCTTGGTAAATGATTGGAGCGATGACAGAACTTTACATGAAAAAATTAAAGTATATATCATTAATAATTTCAACGATAAAGTGAAGTTTTTTAAGACAGAAAAACGAGAGGGATTGATTAGAGCAAGAATGTTTGGCGCAAGAAAAGCAACTGGACAAGTTTTAATTTTCTTAGATAGTCACATAGAAGTAAACAAAAAATGGATAGAACCACTTCTCTCACGAATTGCTCATTCAAAAACTATCACTGCCATGCCAGTTATTGACATAATTAATCCAGATACGTTTCAATATACTGGTAGTCCTCTAGTACGAGGAGGTTTTAATTGGGGTTTGCATTTTAAATGGGATAATGTGCCAGTTGGTACATTTGTACATAATGAAGATTTTATAAAACCTGTAAAGTGAGAATATATGTATACTTATTCACTTAAATGTGTATTTATGTAATATTTTTTAACATATACATTAGCAATTATTATTAAACAGATCTCCAACAATGGCTGGAGGTCTATTTGCAATGGACAGAGACTACTTTACAAAATTAGGAGAATATGATGCTGGTATGGATATCTGGGGTGGTGAAAATCTTGAAATATCATTTAGAGTAAGATAATAATTTATTTAATTTCATATTTTTAATTTCATATTATTCTAATATATTTCTTATTTCAAGAGTAATTTATATGTTTTTTAGATTTGGATGTGTGGTGGAAGTATCGAATTGATACCATGTTCAAGAGTTGGACATGTGTTTAGAAGAAGGAGACCATATGGTACATTTGATCAACATGATACTATGTTGAAAAATTCATTACGCGTCGCACATGTTTGGTTAGACGAATATAAAGATTATTTCTTAAAAAATGTTAAAAACATTGATTATGGCGATATTACGGAAAGGCTAAATTTACGAAAGAGATTAAAATGCAAAAATTTTTCATGGTACTTAAATGTAGTATATCCTGAATTAGCATTACCAGATGATAACAAAAATAAATTAAAAGATAAATGGGCAAAAATTGAACAGAAACCAATACAACCTTGGCACTCTAGAAAAAGAAATTATACTGATCAGTACCAAATTAGACTTTCTAATTCAGTATTATGCATTCAAAGTGAAAAAGATATTAAAACAAAAGGTTCTAAACTTATTTTAGCGCCATGTTTAAGAATTAAATCTCAGGTGACGAACCATATTATAACTTCTAATTTAATTGGCTATATTTATTTTGTTAATACATTTCCTTAAATTTATTTTAATTCTTGTAGATGTGGTATGAGACTGATAAAAAAGAATTAGTACTTGGTCAAATGCTTTGCATGGAAGGAAATGAGAAAATTCCAAAACTTGGAAAATGTCATGAGATGGGCGGCAATCAAGAATGGCGTCACAAAAATACTGTAAATATTTATTTCTTATTAGTTTCTTAATGTTTATGATATCAAATTAAGTTATATTCACTAAATAATTATATTTTGTTTAGAATAATACACCTATATATAACATGGCGACTGGTACATGTTTGGGAATAATGCGGGGAGTGAAAAGTACGCAAATTATAATGGATTTATGTACTAAAAGAGATACAAGCTCTATATTATGGTATTTGGTACGCTCTAAAAATTTTTCAAAAGAAATTAGGTGACACTAAATAAAGCAAACTAAATAAAAACACTAAATAGTTGCAAAAACAAATGATAAAAAATAGATTTTTAGATAGAAAAGAAATAACAAAGAATTACATGTACTCATAAATTTTAACAAATATTTGTGATATGAAGTAGATTATTATGAAAGTTCCAGAATTTTTATATTGTTTTATATATTATATTCTACAAAATTATTTTACATTATAAGAATAGAATAATACATTATTTAAAAAATGTATAATGAGAACTTTTTTTAAAGAATTTTATATATAATTTTTAGCCAGTTTTAGATATAGTGCAACAGTTATTGCAGCTAATATTTTTTTTATTCAGGAAATGTTTTTTTCCTGAAAGTAATAATGTGTATTATATACATATACATATATATTTGTACATACATACATATCATGAATCTCTTTGTATTTGTTCTTTACAAAATAAATAAAATTTTTGACATGTTTTCTCTTTTTATTCTACCATATATAAATACAATTTATAATTAAGTAATATTTATTCTTTATTTTTATTATTTTTTAATATTGAAATTTACATTAAATATTCCATTCAAAAATTTCAAAAATGTTTAATATTAAATACAATTATATATTACGTATATATTTACAAGAAGTCAGTATAAAAGTTTTAATTCAGAAACTTGATTGTTTAGAGCAATGTTATAAAATTATTCAAAATAATTATATAATTATATATTCGATATAAAATTTTACGGAAATATTATAAGAATGTCAATGCAATTAAATTAAAAATATTGCAGTGTATATATATTGCAGCATAAATATAAATTAAAATTTCTAAGAATCACATTGAAATTAACTGTATAGGTTATTTTTTGTAAGGCCTAATACTTCAGAAATGACAACATCGAAAGAATTAAATTTAGCTAGGAAAAGTCTTGTAGCTTCGCTTGGTGAAAATGCAAAAGTGTAAGATATATTTTAAGTTTGATGAAAAAGTAAAAATTACATTGTAAATTTGAAATATCCAGAAAAAATACATAATGTTCATAGTAATAAATTATGAACATTGTAATTCAAAATTTTTAATTATTTAAAATCATTATAATCTTTTTAATTTTTGCCTTGTTTCATGAATAAAATTCACTTTAAACTTTCTTACATTAAAATATAATTTTCAAGAATGATTATTTAAAAGATTTTATTTCCAGGTACTTTGAAAAGATGAAACTCTGGTTTCAAATGAAGGTACTTAATGTTATTATTATATATTAAATTATTATGGGATTTAACATTCGAAATAGTTGTACAATATTACAAATAATATCATTTATAAAATATTATTGTTTTAGACAACAAAAGAAGAGTTTGATTGTGAAGCAAGAAACATCATGACAGAAGATCAAGTTCATCTTCACAATGAATTTCTACTTTGTTTATTTAATAAAGTTAGAGGTTTAGCTGCTGCTACACCTACAAGAAAATTAGATCGAGATAAAGCTATAAAAGAGAAAAGGCTAAGATTAAAACGAAAATATAAAACTGATAAATCAAACTTTGAGGTATACGATAAGAATCTTACTCCTTATATTTAAAACATTAATGTTTTTTTTATAAACTATAATCCTGTTTTTATACATTTTATATTTAGCCTGCAGATATGTATGTTGAAGTATTAAGTCAAACTTCATCACCTGTTGGAGATGAACCTATTGGAGCAAATCGTTCTAGTGCTCAAGAACTTGTACTGCCAGATAGAACTTTTGTTTTAGCAAGATTAATGCTTGCAGCATGGGAAAATAATATGGATGGAGCAGAAGAAAATACTGCACATATAGTTATAGCAGCTACACAAATTTTTTTAAAGAATATTCTTACAGCAATATTCACAAGAAGGAAAGGATATGCTGTTAGAGATAGTTCATTTATTTATAATATTGGAGAACCAGTACCTAGTTCATGGAAAAGAAATTCTACTCATATATTAAAATCATCAGATCATACTACAACAGAAATAATAGATCCTTATGGTCAAGTACCTATGATAAAACCAAATATTGAAGAAGCAGAACAAGCTACAGCTTTTGCTTATGCATGTTCTCCACAAACTATTCCACCTACACTAAAACCTGTTAATACAGCTGATTTACAGCATACACTAAAGGTAAAGAAATTAAAACTATTTAAATGATGCTTGGCATTTTATGGTTTAATATCTTTATTTATTTTATTTTTATACAGATGTATAAAAATCTTGTTAGTAATCATACTATTTATGCAACTAATATGGAACGATTATTTACATATACAACACATCCAACATGGGAAGATCTTGAAGTTAAGAAATTATCATGTCACCAGCCTATAATGTAAATATTTTTTAAAGTAATTTAGGTTAGAAATAAATACTTAGACTTACATATATGATCTATGACACTTTTTTATAAAATATATTTTCCTAATAAAATTAATTTCAAATTAATTTGAAATGTCTAATCATATTTTTTTAATATTTTCTTTCCTTACAAATATTTTGTTTAATCTTTATTTCATTGACACTGAATATTTTCTTATTGAATTATTAATAATGTAGACTACACTTAGAAGTATTTACATTAGAAAGCATGATGAAAGCATGATATTTAACCATAGATTTTAATAAAAATTTAATGTATAATACAAATATAAATAAAAACTAAATTAATTCGTTTTATAAGATTATTCTTTATTTCTGATTATGTATATGCTCTTGAAATTAATTTTATGATTGATATGAGAAACAGTTTACATCATTTTTATTTACATCCTAATTTGAAATTTTCCAGCTTTGGTAATATATTTAACACCTTTGAATGGTTTATATTTTTCTCCATACATATCCAATCGATTAACTTTTAAACCAGAAACTGCCAATTGATTGATTGTAAAATGAACCTGAAATAAAATAATTGTTAAACTTTATTCCATACAATAGCAGCACATAATATATATGAACATACATTAATTGCAGGATTAGATTCCATTACACTGGCAGAGTTCTGAATAGTAATCTAAAAAATTAATTGTTTCAGTTATTTTGTAATTTCTACATAACTTACACTCTAAACAATTATTTCACAATTATATAATTATTTTACCGATCCTCTTAGATTTGGTAATTTAGAAACATCTATTCTTCCAATATCCCATAACAATATTTTGCTAACAGGATCAAATGAGTATTTCCCTTGATTTGGAGTTAATGTACAATTTAAAACTATTTTTGGCATAGGAATTTCTAATGTGACATTTTCGACCTAAAATATACATAATAAAATTTATATCAATTTTTATATTTTCACGTAAAACTAGAAATAAATACATACAGTTCTACCAATGGTTTGCTTTGGCCCAACAGTTATGTCTAATCTGCCACCACCTAGTTCCTTAAGACTAATGTTATGTCTTACATATATTGGAATTGCCACGATACTTTGTGATCCTATGTGATAAGAGAGAAGACGAAAATTTCCATCTGGTGGAATAAAGGAAAGTATACGTTCTGACTGAAAAAAAATAATTATATTAATAATGCAATTATGAAATTTAAACTATCACTTATCCTTACCTCCCATCTTTTAAATCTAACACAAGGATGAAAACTGACATCATCAAATAATCTGGGATTCATAAAAGAAAGTGTTAAATCTGGCATACCGCTTAATTTTATACAACAGTCAATCTATAATTTAAACAATATACTGTAAATATTCTTATTTAGATATAAATCAGCATTAATAACATTAAGTAAAAACATACATATCCTTGAATTTCTGCAAATACAGTTGCACCAGTTCTGTCAATAATAGCATCAACTTCTTCCACAACATCAAAATATGCTTCATTATTTGTATATTTCACACCAGTACGTCTCCAAGGAACATTAGACAATTGTCCACTTGGCAATGTTGCACTAACGCTATAATTTATGTGTGCAATTAAATATATATTTCAAGTTTTATATTTATAATTTATATTAAATATGCTTACTTAGATTTTCCTGTTACAGTGTTTGCAATAGTTCTTAATATATTTGGTGGTTTAATAAGTTCCTTCAAAATATTAGATTCTGTAGCTAACGGGAAGCCATTATCCAACATTTCATCCAGTAGTTCATAAACAACTACATAGTTTTCTTTTATGATAGTTTCTGTACATTCACTAAAATAGTCTTCAAAAGTATCCACTACTCTATGTAAAAATTCTATAACGAACAATGGTGGAACTATAAAACAAAAAAAAATATTTGGAATATATTATGATTAAAATCAATTTATTAATTTTAAATTATAATAAATACCTTCTGTCATACATACTGCAACAAAAAACATATTACAACGATATATACTAATGAGATAATGATGAGGTGTAGCTATTACAGGTGGTGTATCTTCAGGAGATAAAACTCTTCGTTGTTGATCAAAGAAATAGTCACACAATGACCGTGCCACTGCACTTTTCCAATGTTTTTCCATGAAAACATCTCTAAGGTTAATTAATGCTTTAAGTTTATGAAATTTAGAAAATATTCACTTGTAAAAATTGTTTAATTACGTGTAAAAACTTCTGACACATATACAACCTATATATATAAATTTGGATATGTATATGTATCAGATGCAAATTTCTAACCAAATACTTGTCAAATACTAAATATGTATCTTTATCTGTGATTTAATACTTACCCTGACGAATTGATAATAAAAAGGCTATGTATCATTTTTTATAAGAAATTATTCTATACAGTTCACTGTTTAAATTATTTATCAATTTTGTTTTAATACACTTGACATATGTCTGTATTTACAAATTATACTAATACTGATACACCATTCACCACGAACCTACATTTATTGTACATATATATAATTATACGAAGGTATGCAAGTGTAAATTTCCATCGGTACAACTTTAGCGTAAATAATATGATATAAATAATAAAAAAGAAAAATTAATTAACTAATTATAACCAATTATAATAATAAATAAATGTAAGATTTAAAACACATAAAGTAATTACAACCTATAAAATTTTACTACCTACGTGTTATTAATTATCTTTCACTTTCAATTTCTATTTTTATTATTCTTAATTCTAAATCTGTCCATATTCTAAATAATGGATGAAATTACAAGTTGGGAAGATATAGAAAATGATGGTAATTTATTTAACATTTTTTCATCCAACTTTGTATTAAAAATATTTTTTTAAGTATATGTTTTTTTAGAATTTTTTAAGCAATTTTTTGATGGTGAATCCAAAAAAAGTGATATCAATCAAGTCCTGTCAGTAGCACAACGAATAAATAAACTAGGACAAGGTAAACAGAAAAATTATATCTCTAACATAAACTAACATTATAATATATTATAATGTATATATATTTTTCATAGCGATTGAAATATTGAATGCCGAATTACAAAAGCAGGTGTTAGCTAATCACGAAGATTTATTGTCACAAGCAACATGGGTAGAAAAATTGGAAGGTGTACTTTCAATAATGCAATTACATGTTCAGGTATATATGCACAAATACATTTGTAAATATATTGAAGCAAATAAATATTGTTTCAAATGAAACTTAAATTTTTGTGTTTTAGAGCTTTTTGTCAGCTGTGGAACGTTTACGTGGAAAAATTATTGATCCTTTTAATAGAATTGAGACTCAGACAATTGTTTTAGCAAGGCTTCATGAAACTTCTGATTTACTACGGAGAGTAGCTAGAATGCAACATTTATCAAAACGTTTATGTTCTCAAATGACAAATAATATGCAAGGTCCAGATATCATAAAAGCTGCAAATAGCCTTCATGAACTTGGTATAGTAATAACTTGGTATATTTAATTTCATATTTCGCAATATAGAAAAATATATATAAGAAACATAATTTTAATTTATAGAACAATTAATGATGGATACAGATTTGAATGGATTAGACGTTATTGCTGATGATCAACAAATCGTAAAATCTCATAGGACAACGGTACAAAGAATAGCAACTCATACTTTGTCTCAAGGATTACAAATGATGGATAGAACTAAAGTATATGAGTACATATTATTTTTTTAGACACTATTTTTGCAATCTATTAATTATAATTGATAATAAATAGGTTAGTACAGCTGTACAAGTATTTCAAAATCTTGGAATTGTAAATGGAGCTATAGATAATATTATAGATTCTGCCTTGTTTGAGATTGAAAAAATTGCTTCAGAATCATTAGATGTAACTTTAACAGCAAATCAAGATCTTGGGAAAAGGACAGCTCCTGGACGAGCTGCTATTCCTTCTCCAGGTTCTTCAGGAAATTTACGTACACGAATTTGGGATAATCTTGAAAGACTTTTTCAAGATACTCTTTATACACACTGTTTACAAGTAATTGCAAAATATTCTTCATATCTTCTTTTTAAATTCATTTTATTCATAGAAAAACTTATATTTGTCAACTATATACTACTGTTATCTTAGATTGAACTATTACAAAGAATACTATTAGAACATCATGTAAAAGGATTAGATGAACTATCACAGACATTTTGGAACAGAGTAAATACTCTACTTTCTAAAGTATTGGTTGAACGTGCACAAGGTAAATATTAATTATGATATTAAAATCTTCATTCTAATAAAAACATCTCGTTTATATTTTTAGGCTCATCATTTGTAAAACAAGCATTAGAAGGCGAATATCCAAAATTTTTGAGAATATTTCTAGATTTGAGAAAGCGTTTGAAGGAACGATTACAGAGTATTGGTATTTACAAAATCAAGTAAGTAAGGAGAGATTTAATCATGTCAAACAATTTAACTTGTATAGTACAAATAACATTCATAATACGTTATTCTTTCAGTCATGATGTATTATTACCATTTGAAAATGCATACTTATCTCGATCAGTATCACGTCTACTAGATCCAGTGCATACTATGTTTTCTGGAGAAGGATTACCTTCACAGGATGAAATTGATAGTCTTATACGCACAGTAACAAAGTAAGTTAAGATATACATATATATATATTCGTTGCTATAAGTATCAATTTTCATTGCTATAAATATCAATTTTTTTTTACAGCGAATTAAGTGTCTCATTGGTTGATGATGGTCTTTCAATGATAGTTGCTCGTAATGTAGGGAAAGCCGTAAGACTTTTTTGCTTAAAATGCGAACAAGGATTATTTGTAGGTGGAGAAGCTAGTCAAGTAATTGATTCTCCAACCACTGTTCAGCAAACAAACGTATCTCTTGCAAACCTACTTTATTATCTTTCTAGTCAAATAACTCGTGTAATAGCAAATTTATCTGGTCTACCATCTGAAGGAAGTTCAGTCATTTTTGTAGCTCTTAAAGAAATAGACATATTAACAAAAAATATATTATCGCCACTATTAGCATCTATTAATGATGCAATTGAAAGTATTATTTTAACCATGCACGATGATGCAGAATTTCGAGAGTAAGTAAATTAAATGTGCACAAATTAAACATATTTTAAATATACATATGTATGTATATTTTTTCTATATAGTCCAAGTAATCCTGTAGGAAAAGAAATTAACTGCTCGCTCTATATGCGTGAATTGCAAGGATTTATTTTACGTTCTGTAAATACATTTCTTATGCCATATAAAAATCAAGCAATAGTTGCTGAATGGTAATAAAAAATATAATCATAACTTTAATAATATGTTTTCAATATAATGTTGAAATTAATTATCTTTTAGTTGTAAATCTGTTGCTTCACGATGCATTGAACTTTTTGTAAGACATGCTTGCTTATTAAGACCATTAACTGATTTTGGAAGAACCAAACTAATTGTTGATTTTAGTCAGGTATATTGTAATATGTATATCTATACAATGTCACTTCGAAATTTTAGATATAAATTTGAATCTTTTTTATATTAGATAGAAGTAGCTGTTGCTCCATTATGCAGAGGAGGACAATTGGGATCATCAGAACAACAACAATATAGAACATTACGAGCACTAAAAACATTACTTTCACTTAGTCCTGATGAAATTGTCCAAAAAGTTTTGGAAGGAGAAGGAGAATGTGGTATACCTCGTTCCCTTGTTCTTTTATACTTATTTTCTACAGCACCACCAGAATTGGTGTCTCCACATCAGGTATAAGAACATATGTTTATATTATTATTTTTCAATATGACCGAATTATTCCGAATTTAAAAGATTTTAGAGTATTATTAATTTATTAATTATTATTAATATAGAGTACAAGTTGGTCTGTGGGTCGACTATCTCAGTGGATGGATAAACATCCAAATGAAAGAGATAGATTAGCTTTCTGTAGTGGACCACTGGAACGTTATCAGTTAACAGTCAGACAACAAAATCTTCCAACATTTCACCCATTATTTCCATTAATGAAAAAATTAACTGATTTAAATGAACATTAAAATTTATAAAATTTAAATGTATATTTCCATATTTATAGAATATTATATTCTGCATGAATAACTTAAAAAAAGCAAATATATAAAAATTCTAAACAAATACAATCATATTTTTAATGACATTAATTTCTGAATATGTATTGTTTTGGATACATAAATTCCTACAATCAGTGTAATACTGAAGAACATAGGCCAATTTATGTTACGTTTCTTTGGTCCAATATATATTGCTGGTATACCAATATCGTTTTCTTTCTCAATCTGTGTTAATAAAATAGATTTTAATGTTTTCTCTTAAATATATCTCCAATATATTCAATATGTATAATTATTCACTTACTCTTTTGGAAAGTGCTTTTACTTGCATAAGTTCATTTTTTAGAATATTAAGTGTTTTTTGCGTCTTTTTAAGCTCTTGCTCATAATTAGATATTTGTAACTTAGTTAAGTATACATTTTCATTATTTATTTTTATTAAACTATTTTTAACATACTGAAAACTAGAACCAATGATAGCAATTTGTTTGGATAATATACCTAATGAAGTTACGCCATTATATAATCTAAAAACGAATATAAAATTAAATTTTCATCATTCAATTTTACGAAAATGTTATAAAGTATAAACATACGTATAAGGTAGTGATTTATTAATGACACCAATACTTTGTACACTCCATTTTTTCCTATGAAATTTATGAAGACATTCTATAAATTGCATTCTATGTGCATTAATATCCATTCCTAAACGACATAAATCGTTTTCATTTAACGTTAAAAATGTCTTAAGATTTATTCCTTGAAAGATATGAGCATATTTTTCTAAGCTCATTCCATGTAAAAGTATATCTACATCAGACTCTACAGTTTGATCATCTATATTAATTAATGATGGAAATATATCTTTCCAATTGTATACTTTAGATACTTTATAAATATTTGTCGCTTCTTCTTCATTAAAATTTAATAATGACAAAATCTGTAATAATTAATTAACATTGTATTGTGGCTTATAATGAGATATAATTTAACTTACTTTATCATGTCCTTTCATAGAAGCTATATCATATGCAGTTAACTTATTGAAGTCAGTCAATGTGATATCTGCTGCATTTTCTATTAATATTTTAACTATTTCTGACTTATTAGCTATTGTTGCATACATTAATGCCTGCAAATAATAAATAATTTTATATCACTAAACAATAAATAATTATTACTATTATAAAAATAATTATTTAGCTACTAAAAAAACTTACAGTTTGTTTTCTACTGTCATATGCATTAATATTTTTTATATATTTCATTAGTTCTATTATAAATTCTACTTCTTGTGACATGCAAGCAAACATTAAAGGAGTTTGTCTACAAAAATATTAATTAATATTTATTAAAATTGATTGATATTTATTGAAACATTATATTACAAAATACCTTAATTTATTGCTTGCATTTGGATTAGCACCTGCTTTAATTAATACTGTTAAACACTTTATACGTTGCTCTGTTGTTTCTTTATTAGAATTACATAATGCCATTAATGGTGTATAGCCATCTACAATATTACATTATTTAGAAATAATATAAACTGTCTTAATTTCAAATAGGTGATAATAAGTAATAGAAAATTCAAAGTAAATACCTTTATGTTTATTAACATCAACTCCATTATTTATAAGATACTCAGTAACTTTTATTTGTGCATTAAAAGTAGCATACAAAAGTGGAGTCCATCCGTCAAGCAGAAACTTGTTTATATCATTTGCTACATTATATAAATTAGTAAAATACATATTTTTGAGTGAAGTATTGTTTGAAAATATACTACAAAATATAATTTAATAAAATAATTACATTCAAGATATTTAATTACAACCTCTAATTGGCTCATTGAACATGCATTTACCATCTCACGTTCAATAATTTGTTCTTTTTCAATATCTGTATTTTCATGTTGATTAAATGTACTCATGTTTTCTGATACTAAACTATCCTGTGTGTAATATCTAGTTGTTCCTGTGCACTGTAAAGTTTTAGATATCTCATTGGTAAAAAAAATTCCATTTTATTAAAATCAAGTAGTTTTTCCTTTAATTTTTTCGTTTTAATATTTTTAAAAAGATTAATTATTTTCATCATTATAATGAAATAATAAAGTGCTAGTTAAAAGTTGTAGGTTACATATGCATGTATATACTTTCACACCTTTTCCGTAGAAAAATCTTCATCGCTCTCCATTTCGCTATCTGATATTTTGATACTTCTTGGAATCATATTGTTTTATCCTAATAATATAATATACAAAATATAAAATATTTTAATCTTATTTATATTATAAAATTTGAAAATTTTTCGTTCTACGCATGAGCGTAGAACCTATGTATACAGTATACTAATCGTTATACGTACGTTATATTATTTTTATCATGTAGCATTTTATGAAATTTGATAAAAAAATATTACTAACAATAAAAATACGAAATATATATCAAAGAAATTAAAATTTTCTACAAAATATTATTTTTAAAGTTCTTTTAATACGTAAAACTATTATCAAATATTGACAGCGTATTATTTCAATCATTTTATAATTATTTATTGATCATTTTATAATCATTTTATTAATTATATTAATGATTATATTAATCTTTTATATATAAAGAACTACATGTAATAATTAATATTTGTATCACACATATACATAGAGTAGACTTTAATTAAATAGATAAATGAAGTATAAATAAAATTTATTCGTATTTGAATAAAACTTATTTTGTAAATGACAGGTAGATTTATAATATTTATATTTTGAAAGTGACAAATTTGCATAAAACGTATAAAAATAATTAACTGTTCAAAATCGTATAAATGAATATGGAAGGGGTAATAGATTTCTATTTATTTATTTTGATATAGTAATTACGCTAACCTATGAGTCTACATTGTAGACTCTACACATACAAGTGTCAGTATACTAACAATAAATCTTCAGTCTTCAAACACCTGCCTGAGAGTTCGGTTGCAAATTTTTCTCCCCCATTTATAAAACGTATTGTCCAGATTACTTAACCTATGTAAGCGTCAGTATACTTGGATATCCATTAATTAACACAGTTTCTTTGTTAATAAGTCATACCACCCAATTATTGAATTTCCAAACGTCTGTCATCGGATAAACATCTATTGTCGTAGAGTTTGGTTGTAAACTTCCTATTCGTAATTTGCATCACTAAAATTGCAGTTTTATGTATGTTTGAAAATTTGGCTAACAGTAAGTAACAGTAGCGTAATATTTTCAAATAACCTGCGTAACATATTGATGTGACCGTTATATTTAAAACATATATTTAACTACATACTTTCAATATTACATAATCTTGCTATTAATCAACAAAATAAGAATGTTGATCTCATCTTTCAAGGATTAAATGATTAAATTGTACGCTGTGAAATGTCCCAAGTCTCGAGTCATCTCGAGATAAAAATCAAATATTGCTGTCGGAATGTTCAAATCGAGCATTCGAATCTAATTATTTGATACCGGTTATTTTTGTAATGTATTTGTATTTTAATAGATGGATCGGTCGATACTTATCGCATTTGACTTTGATCATACGATCGTCAATGATAACTCCGATATCGTGGCTCGAAAACTATTGCCCAAGGAAAAATTCCCAGAGAGCATGAAGGATTTGTATCGTTCTAATGGTTGGATCGCGTATATGGGGAAGATATTCGAGTTGCTTCACAGTAATTCCATCGACATAAAACAAATCGAGACCGCTATTATTAACATACCTGCTGTACCGGGCATCGAAAATCTCTTGAAAGAATTACATTCTCGAGGTTGCGAAATTATTATCATTAGCGATTCAAACACATTCTTTATTAATGAATGGTTGAAAAGTAGAAATTTGAATTACGCCGTCGCTGAGACATTCACAAATCCCGCGGTAATCAATAACGATGGTTTGTTGAAACTGAACATGTATCATGTTCAAAGTTCTTGCAAACTGAGCACCGTCAATTTGTGCAAAGGGCAGATTTTAGAGGATTACGTTAAAAAGCGAAGCAACGAAGGGGTACATTTTGATCGAATAGCGTACATCGGTGATGGGAAAAATGATTTGTGCCCGATGTTACGTCTTTCCGAGCGTGATATCGCATTTCCGCGAAAAGATTATACGCTTATGAAGATGTTAAACCACGATGAAAATAACCAAGTACCAAAAATAAACGCACGAGTGTTCCCATGGAGTGACGGTACTCAAATTTTAAAAATATTAGAGGAAGAAATCGGATTTTCCCAACCTTCTTTGTAATTTTGACAGTAATATTTATTGACTTTATCTGATATTAATTATAATCAATAAAGAAAATTATCTGCACTATTATCGATCATCTTAACATAAAGTAATATTATTTGCAATCCCCTTATAAAACACATATACATATATACAGCTTCCCTTCGTATCGTTTACTTTAATAAGAAAAAAATTCAAGGGGAATAATATTCGAGATAAAATAATAATTGCAATGTATTTAAAACGAACTGTACCTAACGAAATAATTGTACATAATTTAGTATATTATCTTTTATATATGTAAACATTATATCATGCGTTTCACAAAATGAAATGAAATAATATTACACGATATTTAAATTAAAATTTTTAATCGTATAAAAGAGTGTACAAAATTTTATCATTATGTATTATAAATCTGAAAGTTATTATTTACAAAAAATTATTTTTAACACAAATTGAGTCAAAATATAGATTTCACGTAAAGTATAAAAATAAAGAAATCGATTACTTTTATTATATAAGAAATAGGATTTAAATTCTGAAATACCAGAATTACACGTTTTATGTGAATAACTAACACGTATATCATATGTTTTACTTTTAGACTATACAAATTTGAATAATATTCAATTTTGAATTGCAATATGCGCACGCATTGTTAGGGTTAGGTTGAACTTATGACGTGCGCGATCTGTGCAATATAGTTGCGCGTCTTCAACGTTAATTATTGTCTTATTATTGCTTACGGGCGTCGGCGAAAATTTTACTTTTGGCTTTTCAATGTATCTTATGATAAAGGGGAGAAACATGAACTGATCGTTAATTGTAATTCAAAGTTAAAATTATTATTTGCGATCTCAAAATAACAGCGTACGACCAGCTAATTAGTGTATCAGCTTTGGTAAGAAAATTTAGATTTCTACAAACGAAAAGTAACTTCAATTCTTGCTTTGTTATAATTACGTTATAATTACAAAGAAAATAATCAATCAAAATAAAGTAGTAAATTTATTGCGTTTCAATAGTAATTAAACATTCTAATAAAGAAATCTAATCAAATCAAGTTTTAATTAAATTTAGATAATAGCTGAAAATCTAATCATAATACTTTACTATCATAACGCCATTTATGTATAAACTATACCAAGTGTGAAGTTTTTGATATAAAATTACATCAAAATATTTACATGGAAAGAAATTGGAATATAAAAATTGAAATTCATGCAATAGGATAAATACTATTTGTTTTTGTAGCATTCATATTTTTCTCTTGAAGTTTAATCATTTTAAGATTGAAAACATTCCGTATTGTATTGAATGCTATACCAACCAAATAAGTTATGATTAATAACCATTCTGGTATATATAAAACTGTAAAGACTTTGATTAAGCATTCAAAAAATAAAGGTGTCCATAATAATATCCCACTTAGTAAAGACATGTTGATATTATCAAAAAGTTGTATCGTGTTTATAGCATATTGATTTAACTGATTCATATTTAACTGTATTTTTGTCTCATCGAATGATATGCTATGTTTATTGTCTTTATAGATTTCGTTCAATTTTTTATTAAAATTTTCTTCATGAATTTCTAATTTATTAAAATCCATTGGTTTCTGTGGACGAAGATTTGCATTCAAACATTGAGAATCTTGTTTCGAAGTAGAAGGTCCTTTGGAATTTATAGGAACATCAAAATATATTTTATTAATTTCACTTGTGAGATCAGATTTAGAATTAATCGACAGAATTTTATTTTTTGCTTTTAATTTTTCGAGAATAATTTGACAATTCAGTTTACCATATTGTTGTAAAATTGAAGAAAACAAAATTGGCAGAAAATATATTATAAATACCAACATAAGCAAATGTATCTTTAGAAATTGAATTGATATAAAACATTTGTCCATTGTATATATTTGCATTGTCTTTGATGTGTTATCATTTTTATAAATAATGGTTTTGATATCTGAAAAAATTTCTTTTGGTTTTGACTCTTTTAATTCTTTTGTCTGTTTACTATTATACTTTAGCCCATTTAACATAAATGGTATATTATATTTTCTAGTTATATTCATAAAATTGTTTATAATATCTTCACTTCCAATAATACTTGCTGGTGATCTTTTAAAATTTAGTTTTTCTGTGGTATTTGTATTAATTTCATCATTGTAAATTTTTTCTTTTAATGTGTCGTTCAGAAGATTTGTTATCAATGATCCTTCATTATTTTCATCGGTATAATTGTTTAATTGAATATTATTTTGTAAATTTGTGTTATTTTCAACATTAATTAGATTAAATTCATTTTCAGTATTCTTATTTTGCTTCATATCTTTTGTATAAGTATCCAGTTCCAAGTAGTTTGTTATATCTATAAATTCAGAAGTGTTATAAAAGGTTGTATTAGAGGAAATAGTAGATGTGTCATTCATTGCAGAAAAGACTAGATTTTGTATTTTTGAGATTATCTCATTCACTTGAGTATTAGAAATTTGTAATGTTACATCCTCTTTGTTATAATCATTGTACAATGGAATTGTATATGTTTCCACATCTACATTCTGAGATGTATTTGTAGTTTTGATGTTGTAACAATCATCAAGAAAAAGTATACTTTCAATAAAACATTTTTTATTTTCCATGTCCTTTGTAGGATTTATATTATACTCAGATAAGTATAACAATCCCATAATAAGAATAGGTATAATCCACTGACTTAGTACAAATATGGTAGTAATTTTTTTATTTTTCATCATTTTGTTACATTTAAACACATATAAAATATCCTTCATATACTGTTTGATTAATGAAACTTTTTTGGATGTTACAGAATCAAATTGTGTTTCACTGTTATTTATAGTGGTATCATTTTCACATGGTATTTCTTCAGATTGTAAAAATTTAAAGCATAGATTTTTAAGATAAAATACATTTAAATTGCATTGTACAGAGAATATCAACAAAGACACAAACGAATTTATGAGTGGCAAAAATAACATTCCACATTTCATTATTGTACTTATGATATTACATTTTGGAATTACATTAAAATTATCGTCATGTACAATGGTATTAAATTTTTCTATAAAGTTTTTAAGTTTTATTTGTTGATTTTCATTACTATCTTTTATATTCCATATGTTATCACTCATAGGGAAAATATTCATTTCATTACGTTCAACATAAGCAATGTGTATCATAGAATTTATAAATAATATACTTGATGTAAACATGGAAAATAATACATCAGACACCGACAAAATATATAATGGAGTATCTATCCATTGTTTAAATTGTTTTTTTAATAAAGTTATAATTGTTAGAACACTAGATAGCAGTAATGTGCATGCACATACATTGAGTATTACAAAATACATATTGTTTATGTAGAAATTGATTATAACTTATTATATTTTCACTTTTTATTATAACTATTTACTTTTACGTGTACCTTATGCAGTTTAAAAACATACTATTTAGAATTGCTATTGGATACAAGTATTGTATTTATTTTAGTATGTTGTGTTAAGCTATAGGGGTATCTTAACTGTTAAAGTTTAGATATAACAAGCATTATAACATGAGGGCTGATTATCTATATATTAACAAATGCTGGTACAGATATTATATTTCACATGTAAATTTGTGTAACAAATTTTAACATCTTTGAAATTATATAAAATAAAATATTTTTGCAAAATGTATCTAATTTGAAGCATGTACAAATATACAATTTACACAAGTTCAATATTCCTTTTATGTTTGTTTCAGTGCTTATCTATCATCATGTCCATTCGTCGTAGGACTGATCCTTTCATGACACAACGAATATGGGATGCTATCAAAATAACTGTACATCAGAGAAGTTTACCAAGTAACGATCGCATGGTACGACATTTAGCTCGAGTTTATGGAATTACAGAACAAGAGGCCCAGGAAGAATTAAATAAAGCAGTATATGATGGACTTGTTAATTTAAAGAAAGTATCAACAAAAAATGGTATAGAACAAGAGAGTTACAGATTACCATCAGATATTATACCTAATGATAGTCACGATTGGTACTGCTACAAATGTCAAAAAGCAGGAACTGTAGAATGTTGTCAACAGTGTCATAGAGTTTATCATCCTGAATGTCATGTACCTAATAACATTAAATTGAAAATATGCAATTTTTGTGACGTAAGTATATTGGATTAGACACAGAGCTCAAAACATTATAGACCAATAAAATAGCAATATTTGTTATAGAACATAAATAATGATACATACCCGGACAAAATTGATCTCAACCACATTCTGAATTTTACTTGTGGTCATTTGAAAGCAAAATTACCACCAGAAATTACAAATCGTACTATCGTTTTTAACAATGATCCTATTGTTACACCAAGTAATAGATATTCAGGCACAACTTATATTAGTGAAGGAGAAGATGCATGGCGACCAGGTGTTCTTATAAAACACCACATGGACTTAGCAATCATGGATTCAAAAATTAAGAAAAATGAATATAATAATCTTGCTGAGTTTCAAGCTGATGCACACAACATACTACATAATATCATTGTATATCATGGAGGTACATAACCAGAAACTATAATTAATTTATAAATTTAAGTGTAAAAATTTGATAATTGCTAACAATTCGATTATATATATATTTATTTAGCTCATAGTATAATAGGAGAAATGGGTAATACAATGTATCAAGATTGCTGCTACGATCTTCAAGAAATCCGCCGCTGTGCCGACTGCTATAGGATATCAAATGAAAAATCAGAGAAACTGTGGTTTTGTATACCCTGTAATCCACCACATCAATTAGTTTATGCAAAACAAAAAGGATACCCCTACTGGCCAGCTAAAGTGATGCAAGTTAACGGCAATATTTATGACGTCCGATTTTTTGGAGGTCATCATATGCGTGCCAACATCGAAAAAATGTTCATTCGTCCGATTACCACCAGTCTGCAAAGTTTACAGGTAAAGATAAGTCACAGAATTATCCGGCGTTCAACGCGAAATTGTCACGCGAACACTGTGAAATTCTGGGTTTAGGTTACACGCCATTTACAATGTATCGTATCACTGACACAATAGAAGAGAACTGTTGAGAGAAAAAGCAATTTAGAAATTGTTGTTGCACTTAGGTATATTATTATCTTAACAACGAATTCTTGCATAGCCTTCGGAAAAAGGAAAGTGGAAAGAAATGAAGGTATGCACATACTATGGCCTAAAGTGTACAACTAATTTCTCACCACTCTGTTTCATTGTGCAATCAGAAGAAAATTAGCCTTTCTTAAAACGTGCACAATTTACCTTCCATAGATAAAAAGATCCACTGCTTGGAACAGAGCATTTGATGAACTGAAGCATCATCAGAATTTGCTGCTAAAGTTGGGCAAGAGCATCGAGGATTTGAACATCGACGACGGTGGCGAGGGTCCAAAACCAACTAAAATCCGAAATATAGAGTCATCAAGTTCAAAAAATGCAACAGGAAGTCCAGGCAAACAACTTTTTAAGGATTTAAGAGTTAAAGTAGAACGCCTCAGTTCGGATGGTCACAATGATGTACCACCAAACCAAGAAGAAACCGTACATAACGAACATTCTTCAAAAACTAAAGCTAAAAGCGAAGAAAGACAAGTACCCTGTTTGCCAGTGGCAGAAGATGAACCCGCAAGAGAGATATGCAGTACGTGTCCTCAAGGCTTGAAGAAAGAAGGTTCTCAAGAAGATATGGTTACATCTAGTTCTCAAGAACCAAGAACTAAATGTGTTCTCATACAAACGGAACAAATACAAACAGAAACAATACCTGCAAAGGTATAATATTTAACAATCATTAATTGATTGTATTTATCATGTATAACTTCAATTTCATATTATACTTTATAGATAAAAAGGGAACGGAGAACATCGGAGCAACCTACTACCACAGCATTGGAGAAGCTACGTCGTGAATTAGAACTGGAGAAATGCAAAGAATTGGAAAAATTACAAGCTGAACATGCTAAAGAATTACGACAATTAAAAGATAGACACCAACAAATTATATCGGAAATAAAGAAGAAACAATGGGTAATAATCCTTTAATATTTTTTTGATTTATACACATTCTAATATTTACTTTGCATATATTTTGATATCTATCTTAATTTTAGTGCTATAATTGTGAAGCTGAAGCTATATATCATTGCTGTTGGAATACCGCATATTGCAGTACTGATTGTCAACAAGTCCATTGGCAACGTGAGCATAAAAGAGTTTGCCGACGCAAACGTTAGATTAAGGTGCAATAAGTGCGATAATATTAAAGAATTTATAAGAAAGAAATTAAAATTTCTTTATTTGTAAAAGAGGAATACTTTGTAGAATACAGAATAAAATTTCTGTATTTGTAAAAAGAGGGATACTTTGTAGAATCATATTAATATATTCTTGACACTAATTTCACATACCGTGTTGTAAGTTTCCTACTTAAATGAAAGCATTTCTAATATGTATGCAAACAAATGTGAGTGCTTTGATCTGTAATTATTGTCTTGTTTGTAAGTGAAGAAATAATCTTTATATAATGATCTCTGATCAGAGATCATTATATATTTGTTTAAAATCTTAACATTGATGTTGAGTTATGTTATTTTAATTATTTATTGAAATATCATATACTTAATGTAAAATCTTGTTACTATGAATGGTAAACTCATACAACTAAAGAAAATTTATTAAAATTTTACTTCAATAAAATATGTAACTGTTCATATTATTGTTTAAAATATTTTTGTATAACATAAGTATGTATAAATATTAATATCAGTGATATCATACGTAATCGAAATATCATACGTAATAAATGTATCCTTATTCTCGTAAATAACTTATGTGAAATATTATTACATAAAGATAGAACAGACATATTTTATATACATTATACTACTAATATTATGATGCAATAAATAAATGCGAATATGATAATGCACAAAATACATTAAATGGTAAAACTGTATATTTGTTTAATATATGTATATATTTTAAGTTCTATTTATAAAATTGAATTTATGAAAATTGTTAACATTTTCAATCTTAAATCATTAAAATTTAATTAAAATTAATAATAAAATAAAGATTCATGAAATTAAAATAGAAAACACAAAATTTTCGTGTTACAACCAATTCACTTACAATAAGTGACAGTACATTATATTTAAAATTGAAAATACATATTTCAATATGTATTTCTATATATGCTGAGTTATCAATATTATCTATATATTATTTGTAATAAATTATTTAACTTTATGAAATCATATATTAATTCAATCTTTTTTCATAATTACTTTTTCAATTTATATGAACTATTTTTAATAAAAATAAGAAATTTTTATAAAAATATACTTCAAAGTTTAAGTATTTTGAATTTTAACTTCGTCACCTACTGCTGCCATAGCCATTTGACCCTTATCTATATTTTCAGTTACTTGTACATAACTTGTTGTATCAATGTTATTAAGCATTAATTTTTCCAATAATTGTAATTCTTGAGGCTCCAATTTTTCTCCAAGCTGTCTTAATGCATTTAATACCTCCGCACGTTGATGATCACTAGTTTCTTTACTTAGTTTTCCAAGTTTTACATCACAGTCAATTTGAGTTAGTCGTTCTCTAAGCTGTGATGTCTCACGTTTTCCAAACATTCTAATGACAGCAGGAGTCTTGAATGCTTCGCTAATTGCTGCTTGAATTGCCTAGTTAAAATTGTAAATACAGTCTGTATACAATATTTTTTGAATTTTATAATTCATTATTTTTCAATATTAAAAAATATCTGTATTTATAAAATACCAGTTGTATTGCACCCAATTGATCAACTAATGTTGTGTCACCAGATATCATTCTTTGCAAACTTCCATTGAATTCTTGTAAATCTTCTTTTGTGAGTTGCATAGCTTCTTCATAAGCAGCTGCATCCAATAGATTTCTATAATATATAATAATTTTATAGAAGAAGAACATCAATTCTAAACAATTTTATAATTATTATACTACAATTTTAAGAAAACGTAATTCATTAATTATACCGGTTTTCTTCTATATCTTCTAATTGTTGTACTAGTCTGTCCAATTGTGTTTCTAAATTTTTTCTTAATTGCTCAGTTTGCACTTTACCGCGAGAACTCATTTTTTAATATTAAAATGATAATAATTAGATAAATTTGTGATTAAAAGTAAAAGAAACGTTTGAACGGTCCGAACTTTGCAAAGTAAAATCACGGTTAAGATCAATTTTTTAATATTATCATAAATTATTGTGACAAATTTATCTAAAAATCTTTCAAATCATTTTATATCTACATATTCGTATCACGTATATGCATATCCATATCATTTTTCATACATATTGCTGTTGTTTAATTATATTTGTAAACAATTTAATTATTTTTTGAACTACATAAATATAATTGTGGTTACAATATTTCTGTAACCATTTAATGTACAACTACACTAAATTAGATCAGTAATAGATGATAAAAATATAATAATGTTAAAAATATAATAATTTAATCCATCAGTAGTAATTATTAGATATAAAAGCAAATATGTGTATGTATATGTAGCTGTGTGTATACTAGTAAAATATGTACATGATTTTAACACATTTATAAAAATATATATATGAATTAATGCATTTGTGTAGAGAAATATGTGATATTACATTGCATTCAAAGCGTAATGTTTTTTTATACGATTTATCTTATTTTATAATTATATTAATTCAATAGCAAATTCACATATATATTTCTGATATTAAAGTAAAATTAAATTAAAATAAAATATTACAACATCCAAAAATGATTTAAAATTCATCATTAGAAGCAATTTTTATAACAAAATACGTTGTACATATAGATACATTATTATCTAAATAATCTGCTTGGGCAACAACCAATCAAATAGTTATACGAATGATTCTATGTTCATTGTGTAGTTTATGCCAAACATCTGATTGGTTGCTGAATAATTTTTGTTTCGTTCCGTTACCACAAATCCATTTGTATCGTTTTTAAAAAAATAATATTTTTTGCATAAATTAATTAATGCGCACACAATTGTGATCTATAATTAAATAATTTTATAAATATTACTTATCAGCGATTTTTTATTCATATTGAATGGTTCATCGCTTTAAATGTGTAAACAGATTAAGGTTTTTATATTGCCATTAAGAAACGTTAGATAGGAGGAAATGGAAAGAGAGGCGTGCTGTAGTTGTGCTCAATGTATGGTGCGCGTCGCTTCTTTTTTCTTACAAGAAAACAAGTTATTTACCGTTTGTCAAGCAATTTACGCGACATTTTAGGCAGGTAGAACGGCCTACGTACGATTATTGGCGACAATAGCTTGTTAGCAGTTACAAGAAGAAATAAATGACCGTGCGCAGTTGATTGCAACCGCGCGCGAATCTGAGCGAAAAAAGAAAGGGAGCGTAAACACTTTTTGGTCGAACGTGCCAACGAAGAGGAACTGCTGAAAAATCGTGTAATTTGTCAGCGCGAATACGAACAGAGGCAGTTATTTCGAAAAACGAAATATGGAAAAAGTGAAGAAATAGTTTTGCGTATGAACTGACCGTGGTTGAAGTGCGCGCGCGTGCAATCGTGTGCCATCAGTTTCGTACGGGTGACCGAACGCTAACCATCATTTTACGTTACCACCAATTTTTCAGCGAAGTTTGCTCTGAACAAGAAGTCTTTCGACAAACGTTACGCTTAAATATTGCGCACGTGCAAAAATAACGTACCTATGAGGACCTCAGCGAGCCACATAAGGCAACAAGCTTTGAAGGTAGTGGAGAGTTTAAAGAAAGGAGGTCTACGCTTGCGATGAGCATGCCAACAAAAGGGAAACATCACCACCTGCCCCATCACCAACATCATTCACAGTCGCATCATCCGGCACAGCATCAACCTCAGCTTCTAGTGAACGTCAACCAGCCGAGTGTTCATTCGCCTCAAACCTATAACACCGTGGTTACGACAAACACACCGCGTTTCGTACCGAATGCTGGTGAGTACAAAGTCACATTATTGCAAATTTTATCTTCAATTTTGTTTAATTTTTTATGCGTATTGGCATGTGTTTCTTATTTATTATATATATACGCTTTTCTATACGATTAGCTTTCAATATGCTCGTTAAATGCTAGAGGAAGGTTAGGTTTTGAGGTTAGGATTACCATGTGGTCCATGTGGCTATCCATTAAGAATATTCCGTAAAAATGTCTAAGATAATGCGTTTATTTTCCATCTCGCCATATTTTACGTTTTACATTAATTTTATTGTTCTTTTTTTTTGTTCTTAATGGTTATTTTATTAAGATGTTACTAAAAAAGTAATAAAATTAATTGAACAAAGGAAGCAGCACTTGTATGCAAGTCGATTAATAAATTTTCTACAGTTTGTATATTTTTAGTCTAAAAATAGTACATTGATGTTACCGTTATTTAGATATTTAATTTAAATAATTTACTTTTTGAATAACTTTTAACAATTCGTTTATGTTGCATATATTTATTATAACAATTTTGAAAGTTATATTTAAATTCTGTTGATGCAATAACATATTATTGCAGTTTCATTATTGCATACATTTTGAAATATGTTGGACTTGGTTATCACTTTTTTTAAAAAAATTATTTTTTTTTAATATGATAGATTTTACATACACGCATATGTTTTCTATCAAATTAATTTCATTTATATTTGATTAACGACTAAACATCCAAGGAAATTAACTTAATGAAATTATGGAAGCCGTGGGAAAGACGTAATTATGTGAATTCTATTATTTTTCAATATGTCAAATTTATGTAATCCCTGATTGTTTTGATACAATCAAGAATTTTACAAATTATATTTCTCAACTAAGTAAAAAAATTATATAGTAATATATTTTCAAATATTTTTGAAACAATGAAGCTAATAACAAACTTGGTATAAATATTTAGGAAATTAATATTTTTTCCTGCGGTTACAAGTTTATGTCAAAAATTTTATTCTTCGAGAATTGTAAATAGGGTACAATTAAGACAGTGAATAGAATTATAATTATATATTAATTCACATAGCGGAAATGCAAACATTAATCGGTCTTGGAATGACCTTATTCAAGATACTTGACATTATTATATTGGCACAATAATCCGTCTCTACATGAATTAGTTTTCCTCGAATCCACTTCTTAGCTCATTTTATTTTCTACTTTAGTTTCTGCTTTCGGTATGAATTCTTCCTTCGAAAAAGCGTAGTAGGAAAAGTACGAAGTGAGGAGAAAAATGTACTGAATGCGTATATAAATAAAAACAAACGTGAAAGAGAGAGTGGGGGATCAATCTGTTGAATCGTAGGGAACAGTTCTCCTCCATTAAATTAAGATTTGTTTAATGGATGAATTGAGATAGTAAAGATCATAGATATATGGGCCATGTGAAAGGATGTACGAAGAAGTATCCCAAGAGACAACAGGGAAAGAATCCGCAAAAGGAAGAGGGAAAGAGAATAGGATGAAACGAGGCGACATAGCTATCTTACCGAAGGCTTACGAAAACATCCGAACATCGAGTTCGGCTGTATGCCGCGCATAGTCTGTGTACATGTGGCAATCAAGCCACACGGTACACACGTTTCTCGCTCTTTTTTTTTCCTTTCTTATTTACCTTATAGTGAAAATAATCGAGTAATAACTTCATCACGAGTATAGAAAAGTTCACGATAATATAACTAGAGATTGTACATGGTACTGTTACAGGATTCTCGTATTTTTTTCCTACGGGTATTTTCAAGACTGTTTTTGCAATCATTTGTAATCTAAAGTACTACAGCTGCGGAAGCATGTTTTCTTTTTCTCTCTTTGAAAGACGTTTATCAATCTAATTCACTTCCATATGATAATTTTACGATTTATACATTTGTGTACGACAATACACTTATCAATAAACGAATTGTGTCGTCTGTGTATTGAACACGAAATTA